TGTTACTTATTGACTAAGAGAAACCCCAGAAATACATTAGCGGTATTAAGCTTTCCCCTTTGAGCCATTAACAAAGCCCAAGTTACAGGTATTGAAGGCGCGGTTTGATGGAGCAGAAGGCGTGTTCTCTTGTGTATCGGGTAACAGCGTGTGTAAACTTAATTGCTTTCTATAATGGAGTCATTAAGCGCGGGTTATTGACCTTAAATGAGCTTTACTGAAATGATCTGATTGGGATTCACGCTTTGAGGTGTCTAGCCTCGAAAAAAATACTAGCGCGTGGTAAACTTTACACAATAACCCTTTGTATACATTGTAAATTTTTTTTGAATCCCTGATTTCTTCATAATGAAAATAAAGTCCAGGGCGGTTTCGAAAGTCATTTCGCTTTCCATCACACTTACCAAGTTCTTTTCTTATTTTTTTTTGGTCATGTTTGTCATATTGTACCTTAAAGGATGTTTTATCGATAATTAGCTTTAGACAGAGACAGTAACAAGCGTTGTATGTCACTTCAGCGTCTTTTGTTTTATTCACTCACCAGCAAACCTTCCTGATGGAGACAAGGATTTCCATTAATACCTATACATATGGACGTAAAAAATGTTTATAGAGATCAATTTATGAATTTGAAAAAAAGGCAAACTGATGACTTAACTGATTTATAATATCAAAACAAACAGTATGAAAACATGCTGCCTGGCACGATGGATAACATATATGTTGGTATTCAGTATCACCATCGTCGATACAATTGAGAATATACTTTAATTTCAAGCGAACGGATATCTATTCAATAGTCTCCTCTACATTCTTCAGCCCTCCTCTATCCACCAGGGGATCCTTACGTAAGGCTAGGTCCTGATACCGGCCGTAAGGGAAGCCCCTGATCCAGAAACAGCAATGCGCTGAGATCGTAAGATACATTCAGCGAGCAACCTTCTTCCATATTTCTCGGTTCATGTCAGTGGGAAAGCGTCTAGACTCCTGACCTTCAGTACTATGCCTTCCTTATGGTTTCTCTCTGGAATTTTTGCTTCGAAATCTTGAATCAGGAAGTTGCACGGGGAATTAATGGCGTTCTCCGGTGTCTTTTCGATAGTAGTGAAAAGGAATAAAAATTTAAAATATGTCTGTCGAAATGTTTGAATCGTATTACTTGGTGAGTTGTTAATATTGCAGCTCTTTCTTCTAGCATGGTCTAGCTTCGATAGACGAAATATATTATAATTATATTATATATATATATATATATATATATATATATATATATATATATATATATGTATGTATGTATGTATGTATGTATACGTCCAAATTTATTTGAGTTTGGGTTACATGACTTGTGTAGTTTGTTCGACTCCCACTTTACCATAAACAAACATTAAGGAATGAAACAGTGAATTGATGATCACATAATGGAAGATTTGGTTTTGATTTTCACACCAGAAATTGTTTATGGAAAAAAAAGAAAAAATGTATCATTATATTTTTATGCCTGACTGTGAAAAAAGTAAAATCTAAGTAATTATATTTTCTGTCATCTGATGAAATGTCATTATGGCTGATTGCATCGATATCAAATCCTACGCGAGAATATGAATGAGTATTTTCATTCTTTTGTTTATTGTGTGGTAAGCAAATCACAATTTTTATTCGGAATGTGGCGGATATATTAAAAAGCCGATTATACAAGAAAGCTACCAGCCTCTCTCTCTCTCTCTCTCTCTCTCTCTCTCTCTCTCTCTCTCTCTCTCCTCTCTCTCTCTTCTCTCTCTCTCTCTCTCTCTCTCTCTCTCTCTCTCTCTCTCTCTCTCCTCGGGGAAACTGTGTGTGTTTCGTTCACTCATCTTTATTGAAATGTCATGACTGATGCTATGAGAGGTGTACAGCCATGGGAAAAAATGGTGCGTGGTAAAATTTACACAATAACACTCTCTCTCTAATCTTCTTCGTCTTCTCTCTCTCTCTCTCTCTCCCTCCCCCTCTCTCTCCCCGCCTCGCTCTCTTTCCTTTTTCCCCCTTCCCCCTCACTTCTTCTTCGCTTTTCCCCTTTCCCCTCCTCACTCTTCTTCGCTTTTTCCCCTCTCCTCTTCAACACTCTCTCTCTACTCTCCCTCTCTGTCTTCCGGGCTCAATATCCATCCCCCCTCCCCTCTCTCTCCGNTATATATATATATAACGTCCAAGGATTGTTAACATATTTGAATTTGGGTTACATGACTTGTGTAGTTTGTTCGACTCCCACTTTACCATAAACAAACATTAAGGAATGCGAGACGGTGAACTCGTGATCACATAATGGAAGATTTGGTTTTGATTTTCACACCAGAAATTGTTTATGGAAAAAAAAAAGAAAAAATGTATCATTATATTTTTATGCCTGACTGTGAAAAAAAAGTAAAATCTAAGTAATTATATTTTCTGTCATCTGATGAAATGTCATTATGGCTGATTGCATCGATATCAAATCCTACGCGAGAATATGAATGAGTATTTCCATTCTTTTGTTTATTGTGTGGTAAGCAAATCACAATTTTTATTCGGAATGTGGCGGATATATTAAAAAGCCGATTATACAAGAAAGCAACCAGATAATTCTCTCTCTCTCTCTCTCTCTCTCTCTCTCTCTCGAGGGAAACTGTGTGTGTTTCGTTCACTCATCTTTATTGAAATGTCATGACTGATGCTATGAGAGGTGTACAGCCATGGGAAAAAATGGTGCGTGGTAAAATTTACACAATAACACTCTCTCTCTAATCTTCTTCGTCTTCTCTCTCTCTCTCTCTCTCCCTCGCCCTCTCTCTCTCTTTCGCTTTTCCCCTCCCCCTCACTCTCTTTCGCTTTTCCCCTTCCCTTCCTCACTCTCTTTCGCTTTTCCCCCTCTCCCTCTCACACTCTCTCTCTAGCTCTCCCTCTCTGTCTCCGTCTCAATATCCATCCCCCTCCCCCTCTCTCTCGTGTTCTCTTTCTCTCATTAGTATGATGCCAAATATATCACCCAGCCTTCACTGCTATAACCTCTCAGGCAAAATCCAAATATTGAAGCTGATGTCTGGTACCATGATACATGTAGAGAAAGAGAGAGAGAGAGAGAGACAAGAGAGAGAGAGAGAGAGAGAGAGAGAAAGAGAGAGAGAGAGAGAGAGAGAGAGAGACAAACAGACTGAGAGAGAGAAGAGAGAGAGAATAGAGAAAGAGAAAGAGAGAGAATAGAGAAAGAGAGAGACAGAGAGAGAAAGAAAGAAAGAGAAAGAGAGAGAGAGACAGACAGAGACAGAGAGAAAGAAGAAAGAGAGAAAAATAGAGAGATCAAGGGAGTTAACGAGTTATGAAAGCAGTGTCAGCATAGAGAAAGAGACAGAAACAGAGAGAGAGAGACAGAGAGAGAGAGACAAACAGACTGAGAGAGAGAAGAGAGAGAGAATAGAGAAAGAGAAAGAGAGAGAATAGAGAAAGAGAGAGACAGAGAGAGAAAGAAAGAAAGAGAAAGAGAGAGAGAGACAGACAGAGACAGAGAGAAAGAAGAAAGAGAGAAAAATAGAGAGATCAAGTGAGTTAACCAGTTATGAAAGCAGTGTCAGCATAGAGAAAGAGACAGAAACAGAGAGAGAGAGACAGAGAGAGAGAGACAAACAGACTGAGAGAGAGAAGAGAGAGAGAATAGAGAAAGACAGAGAGAGAGAATAGATAAAGAGAGAGACAGAGAGAGAAAGAAAGAAAGAGAAAGAGAGAGAGAGACAGACAGAGACAGAGAGAAAGAAGAAAGAGAGAAAAATAGAGAGATCAAGTGAGTTAACCAGTTATGAAAGCAGTGTCAGCATAGAGAAAGAGACAGAAACAGAGAGAGAGAGAGACAGAGAGAGAGAGACAAACAGACTGAGAGAGAGAGAGAAATAGAGAGAGCAAGTGAATAAACCAGTTATGAAAGCAGTGTCAGGATACACATACACCACCATGTATGAACGAAAACAGAATGAAAATTTGCGCCGAAAATTTACCGTAGCGTCTCCAGGCTTAATTAGACTAATCAGACGTTAAGACTGAAAAAAAATATTCAAAATAACACAAGACCAATATTACCACACTTTAGATAATTACTGCAAATGCGACGCTAGAGACCCGACTTCGGTGTAGATGAGAACCAATAATCAATGTTCACCTTTGCATCGTGGAGCAAAATAGATCACAAATTGCAATATGAATAGTATTATTGCAAAATTGTAACCTAATGGTGAATATTTTAACGATTATTATAGACGATACAGATATTTTAATCCGAAGTCAGGGCTGTATCATCGCATTCGCATATTTTGCTGTAATGACGACTGTACTGGAGAGAGAGAAGGCGGGGACCGTACAAGCCACTCAGTGATATAATTTAAGAAATAAACAGATTTCAACCGTTTATTTGGTCTAAAAGGGAGACGGGAAGACATTTAAAATAAATCCTAAAACCTTCCACCCACGATTAATGGGATTCGTCATATCCAAGCGTTCAAACTGATGTTATATTTAGATATTTTCTAAATCAAAAGGCGTTCGAGCAGTTTTTCTTTCGCGTGAGATGGCATGTGGATGGACTTCGTTTCATTCTAATTAAAGCGTAGGTGTTCGTTATTAATCAAGAGGATTAGATTCCCTTGCTTGGCTATCATCGCTCCTCTACTTACTCGTTCGAATGACTTTCCAGCGTAAAAAAAAAATCAGAGATATATTGCACATGATAATTGCAACATCCAGCATCTGCCATTTACATAGAGATAACGCATCAGTGTTTCTTTCCGCAAAATAGGACATGTAAGCTCATATTATTCAAATTCTTGATATATTCCTAGCAATACCTTCTCCCTCCCCCCCTAGCCCTCCCTTTCTCTCCCTCTCTCTCTGACACACACCTCCTCCCTCCCTCTCTCTCTCACACACACCTCCTCCCTCCCTCTCTCTCTCACACACACACACACTCACACACACACACACGCATACATCCAAACACACAC